GGACAGATTGTATTTGTCTTCAGTGTGGAAGGGATTGTCACTCTTGAATTGGCCTTCTCAGCCACACTAGACATTGTTCCAAGACCTCTACTCAGAGCATTTTACCATAGTCTCTCGAGATTGAAGGATGCCTACATGCTTACAGATGGAACTATAGATGTGTTCCTTGCAGGGCAGACTTGATCCAATTTTTAAAAAATGCATTTTTAAAATTATTCAAATCATTAAAAAAAATTTAAATTGTCATTTAAATCAAATTGATTTTTTTTTAAAAAAATATACATTTTTGTCCACCCTGCCTTGCTATGAACAAGCTGACTTTTTTGGACTGACTGTCCTTGGCTAGAAGTCTCATTAATTCTCATTAATTACTTCCCTTTTAGGGAAGTAATTAATGAAGTCTCTGCTGAAGAGTTCCAACAACTTATGAATTGGGAAAGGGAAGTAATTTATAATGGCAGAGGAAAAAAGTGGTGAGTGAGTTAAGGAGTAGTTTTTTGCCTTCCATTTGCTAGTTTGCCCTTGCAGATGCCATGTTCTTTGCATGTAGAAGAAAGCAAATATGCTCTAGTGTGGCTCAGGCATGGTGTAGACCAGTAGTTCTTAACCTTGGGTTACTCAGGCGTTTTTGAACTGCAACTCCCAGAAACTCTAGCCAGCACAGCTGGTGGTGAAGGCTTCTGGGAGTTGCAGTCCAAGAACACCTGACTAACCCAAGGTTAAGAACCACTGGGCTGCCATGAAGAGGGGTAATCAGCCAAGAATATCCTATGGATGACAGTTTCTGCTCTTGCAATTGAACTTTTTTGAACCTGTAATATGTTTTTTTTAACTTTTTAGCATCTGAAAATGACACTAGGGAAATTAATTTAAAAACGTCTGAACTTACGAAATGTGAATGGTGTGGTGTACGAAAGTTGCCAGTTGTTTTTCTGCAAACTATACCTGCTGCCTGCCAAAGCTTGAGATCTCAACTGAAGATGAACAAAGAGAAAGATAATGTCTGGTATGACTGCAAAGGAGCAAGTAAGTGAACCTTTTGATGCAGTAATCAACGTTTTACATACAACTCTTTAATATGAAATGTATGCCTGGTGGCAAGTGATGTCCTGTCCTGTCCCTAGAATAGCCAAGGGGTTGTCACAAGCAAAAAGCATTTTCCTCCATCAAACAGAAACATGCTGGCCTCACTGCTTGGAGGCAGGAGCAGTGACAGTTTGTGGCAGAAAAAAATCCCATCAGATTCTGTTTTGTTCTGTTTTTAGCTACCAAAGGGAGGCAGCACATTCCTACTGTAAAATATACAGTGGTGCCTCGTATAACGAGTGCCTCGTATAACGAGGAATCCACATAACGATGGCTTTTTTGCGATCGCTTTTGCGATCGCATACTGATGTTGCCTATGGGGAAAAATCGCTTTGTGATGTTTTCCCCATAGGCACCATTTGCCGGCTGAACAAGCGGGCGTTCGCTCGGGAGGAGGTGGGGGAATCTTCCCACCTCCTCCTGCCCCATCGCCGGCCTGTCAGCCAGCTGAAAACACGGCGTTTGCTCGGGAGGAGGCGGGGGAATCTTCCCACCTCCTCCTGCCCAATCGCCGGCCCGTCAGTTGGCTGAAAATGCGACGTTCGCTCGGGAGGAGGCGGGGGAAACATCCCACCTCCTGCCCGATCGCCGGCCTGTCAGCCGGCTGAACAAGCGGGCGTTCGCTCGGGAGGAGGCGGGGGAATCTTCCCACCTCCTCCTGCCCGATCGCCGGCCCATCAGCCGGCTGAAAACGCGGCGTTCGCTCGGGAGGAGGCGGGGGAAACTTCCCACCTCCTCCTGCCCGATCGCCGGCCCGTCAGCTGGCTGAAAACGCGGCGTTCGCTCGGGAGGAGGCGGGGGAATCTTCCCACCTCCTCCTGCCCGATCGCCGGCCT